ACCACACCGGGGAGTAACTACTACTTTAGTGGGATCAAATTATAACGGCTTGTAGTCATCAATCAGAAACCTTTGATCTAAGAAGAGTTGAATTGTGATGACTGGGTTCCCCCTAAAACATACTAAGGTAAGTTTTATACTCCTAGTCACCTCAGAAAGTCAAAAGTAAACACGAAGGTTGACCTTGTTATTATTGGTCTAGTGACACAAAAGTACTAACCATTAAACACCACGTCGCTATATATATATATAATTTATTCGAAATTATAACATAAATATGTTATAAAATCTCTACAAAAATACCCATTTTGTTTCAACACTTCTGGTGTATTATCAAGTGACGGTGTCGAATAAATTATATTTGCCCTACTCTGTATTGAGCACTCTTTTAAGAATAGCATTTTTTGGTTTATTCTGTACCACTAATGAATATATATATATATATATATATATATATACCAAGTAGTAACATATATATATAATTATATAACCAAAATGCTATTCTTAAAAGAGTGCTCATACAGAGTAGAGGAAATAAATTTATTCGAAAATCATTGATATTCTGTTGAAACAAAATGTCTATTTTTGTAGTGATTTTATAAAATATTTATGTTATAATTTCGAATAAATTATATATATATATATATATATAACAATGAATCATTCATTCAAAAAGTAAATTATTAAAGTTAATGAGATAAAATGGCGAATTCACTTCGCTAACTAAAATTTAAAAATGCATTAACCCACTAAGCACTCGATGAATTTTATGATCCTTGTTTTTTAAAATTATAAAATGTATTAAGTCTTCCTTAAATATGCAAGTACTTTCGACAGGTTCTCCGGTCATCATCAGTCATGGAAAAAATTCAGGTAGCATCCGAGACGAAAAGATATAATGCAAATCTAAATATTTTTTTTAAGTTGATTATTGATAACAGATACTAATTATAGAGTGTGCAGTCGCAATGCTAAGGTTGAATTTTTGAAAATTTAAGTGAGAACTTTTTTTTTTTAATTTTTTACTAATATGGAATTTTTTGGTTGTAGGTGTTTATCAGTTAACATGGCATGAACTAAGTAGTTTAAGAACTAGAGCAATGTCTCAGTTGTTTTCCCGAAAGTTGAAATTTGTGGAAATTCCTTTTGATTTTTTACTTCACTGATAACTACAATCTTCAAAGATTTAAATGCAACGTCAATTGCCATCTTCTGTCTTCTTGAAGCCTGACCCTTTTTGTTCTTTTCTCAACCCTCCCCATTCTTAGTCTTCTAATTCTCATTCACTTTCACTCCCTTTAACCTCTTGCGTTCTAGCGGCATTGTTGCCTCGCTTGGAGAGAAACGATTTAGAAAACACACATACATACGTATATATATATATATATATATATATATATAGCAATAGTTCTTGTTACAGCATATTTCAAACTCTTTCTGATATCTGTTGGGAGATGGGTGCTTTTGTAGGTGTACCATCTTGAAATAGACTGCCACCCAAGGCTACAGAGGTTCTATCAGCCCATTAGGTGAGCATACTTGACTTCGTGCTAGTATAATTATGAATGACTTTCGAACTGTTTTGTCTACCCCATTTCACGCAGATGGGTCGGGTCAGGTATTTGCCAATAGTGTTACACGTCAGGTTCGTTTCAACATGCCGTGGACGACATTGACAAATCGACCATAGTGAGATCCGTAGTAGAGTTCGAAGTGGTTAGGATATTAGCTGTAGTAGTAGTGAGCGTGAAAATGGTTGTACACGTTTGAGAATGACGACATATATCACATGATGGATAGTTATTAACGAAGAATTTGGGGAAAAAAAATCTAAGATAAGACCGGCACAGGAGAACGGAGGCCTTTTGCTAAGAAAATTCTATCTATCTATCTATCTATCTATCTATCTATCTATCTATCTATCTATCTATCCCCTCATTAAATGAATATCTATCTATCTATCTATCTATCTATCTATCTATCTATCTATATCCTCATTAAATAAATGAATATCTATCTATCTATCTATCTATCTATCTATCTATCTATCTATCTATCACATATTCGATGCGCGCATGTGTGTATTGCCAAAGATAGCGCGAATATTAACGAACTCGTCTCATAAACCAATCAGTTGACGTTGTTTTTTTTTCATTAGGTGACCCACTTAACACTATGTGGGTGTATACGTTTGTAAATCATGTGTACATATATGTATATAGTGAGTATTTATATATATATATATATATATATATATATATATATATATATATATATATTGCTAATTTATTTACTCAGTTTATACATGTGTGTTTGTCTGTGCGTGTGTGTACTGATGCAAATAGTAACAATCTTAACAGATACGTATGGCTTCATCAGTATGTGTGTGTATGTGAGATAGATAGATATGAACAGACCTAGATCGATATGAACGAACTGAGATAGATAGAGAGAGATATCAACAGAGACAGGCATGAACTGACCGAAATAGATAGATAAACAAACCATGGCAACATATTAAATATATTAATCCAATTATATCGAAAGTAACGAAAATAATATATATATAATTGCTAAGTGATTTACTAAATTTATACATGTGTGTGGTTGTGCGCGCTTGCCTGTGTGTACTCATGCAAATAGTAAGAATCTTAACAGTTACGTATGCCTTCATCAGTATGTGTGTGCATGTGAGATAGATAGATAGATAGATAGATATGAATAGATCTAGATAGATAGGTAGGTAGATAAGCAAACCACGGCCACATATTTAATATATTAATCCAATTATATCAAAAGTATCGAAAATAATTTTTTATATATATATATATATATATATATATATATATATGAAGAAAAATATATACGGAAAAAACAAACAAAAATCCTTATATACAATTATGCTGTTTTAATGTTAATATGTCAACGTCGGACGTTTCGGTCTAATAAATCATCTTCAGGACATATTCATAAATTATAACATTATCAATACAACATGACAAAGACGATGTACATAAGAAAAAAGACTTATCCAAACAAATAACTGAAAGTTTTATAAGATCAGCGCCCCGTTTAAAACATGGTCACGTTGTCGTCACGTGGGCGACGCTGTGAAATATATATATATATAAATTGCTAAGTGATTTACTAAGTGTGTGTGTCTGTGGGCTTGTGCGTGTGTGTACTCATGCAAATAGTAATAATCTTAACAGGTACGTACGCCTTTATCAGTATGTGTGTGTATGTGAGATAGATAGATAGATAGATAGATAGATAGATAGATAGATAGATTAAATATATTAATCATGCCCACATATTAATATATCAAAAGTCTCGAAAATAATTGTAAGAACTTTTTTGCAATCTGGTAGGATTAAAAATGTGACCCCCACCCTTATGAGCAATCATGGTACCGTTGAGTGGTGTCGTTGAGTGAACGAAAGAATCTCCCCGCCCAAGAAATTTCGAAATTTGGTAGGTTTGAATTCATTATTTTGGCTTTGAAAAAAAAATGATGGCTTGGCTAAAATGCTGTGATAAAAATCATCCAAAAAGCTGAGTAATATCCGCTCGCACACTTGGACAGAATCTGGCACAAGGCCAAGTTTAAAGTGGGCTGTTATACACAAACATGTGACCAGAGCGTAAAAATATTTCTGTTGCTTCGCCACTTACACTTTTGGAGATCCCGCAGGCGCCAGGGATTAAGCTTTAACCCTCCCCTGAGGACGTGGTAGTGACTGAAGATGCGGCCTCCCGAGATGGAATTTAATTCACTTCCGCTGCAGTCAACATAGTTATAAATCTCTCAGAAATTTACACTACGTGCTGACGACGTTCGAAGACGTTTTAAGACGTAAAAGTATCTTTTTTTTTTTTAATGAAACTTGTATCCATATATGAAACAAGATCGATATACACCTGAAGAAGTTCGGAAGATACAAAGACCGAAACGTTACGATAACAACAGCAAAAATGACACTTACTGGATGTTTGGATGTTTAGATGTTTTATACTTGCTTGATTTTGGCATCTCCAATTTTCGAATAATTAAATTTAAATGATAATAAGGAAGACATTAATAGCAGTTGCTAATGATTTTGCCAATAATAATGATTATTCGTTCCTATGGTAACAGCCACCTTTTCTGTGTGTTCGGGCGGTTGATAGCTCTACCATTCTTTGAGTGCTGGGTACCAAACCGCATGCAGTTTTTATTTACCCCGATTGGCTGGCGGGTCTTTGCGCTGGAAAAATGATTATTTCTTTGATGAGGCTAATTATTCCAAGGGTGTATTTTTCAAACTTGATTGCCTTTAGCTTTGTTGTTTTTAGCACAGCGTTCCGCTTGATATTTTTATTTGGATTTCCTCAGCTGAATAGTCCTGGGTATGACGATAAACTACATCCGGCAGCAAGGCCTCTGATCAGGAGATTACAAGTTTTGAGGAGCGTGGAATCGCCTCTTAATTGCTGTTGTTCCCAGGTCCACCCCGACTCGGGGTCGTAGCATCTACTAGGATACTAGCTATGGGCAAATAGCGAACCCCCCCGAAAAAAAAAATTATAAATGTATAAAAATAGATTTTTATTGTAAAGATACCAGCAATACATTTTTATATCTAACAAAAAATATCAACAGTATATTTTAAAACAAAATAACCAGCAATACATTTTATAATAGAATTAGCAACAATACATTTTATAGCAAAACGACCAACAATACATTTTATAGTAGATATAATAACAATGCATTTTACAGCAAAATTAGCAACATTACATTTTATCTCTAGTTGAAGGCATACAATTGCGTTCAAAATATATTTAGTTGAAGCCATAAAATTGCGTTCAAAATATTTAGATTTTGACATTAAATAACCCATAGAGATGTTGATATGGCGCTAAACAAAAACAATCAACCAATACTTCAAAGCGAGTCTGCAGTGTTGACATGACATAAGCATGTTTTTTTTCTACTTGTTATCGAGAATACTGCATCAATGTCCAGCGCGGATAGGTTGCAGCTTTCTACTCAAGTGTGTCTAAATGGTTAGCTCAAAATGTCTGTAGCTGAAGGCATAAAATTATGCTCAAAATATTTAGATTTTGGCATTAAATAACCCATAGTGATGTCGATATGTCGCGAAACGAAATGAACCCAATCACCAACATGAAAGAACTCTTTCATGAGATTAGTCCACATAATATCCTACAGTTTCTTAAAGAAATCAAAATACTTCTGACAAAATACTTTTATTTTGTTTTTATTGTGTATGAACAAGGGATCCTTCAAAACCGTTAGCAGATTAGCCGAAAGCAATTTAAAGAACAAACGTTTGGACAATTTTTCCATAAGTCCCAAGAAAGAAATCTCTTATTTGCGCATGTGCCCACCTGAAATGACACTCGAAACCACACCAACAAAAATAAATAAATAAAACAAAAAAAAAAGTTTCCTAACTCTCTCGGTAGCGCAATGAGCCTTCATCTGCATTTCAAATGTTCTTTCTTATAAATAGGGAAGGTTCTCGGGATACGTCGGATCCGGCGTACAGCGTTTCGTGGTTACGACGCAATCTCCCACAATACGTCGTCATGCGGCACTATATGAGGAAGACAGCATTGTTTCTTCACCAGCTGTACGCCATATTGAATTGTGCTACATTCGGTATCTCTCGTTTGCGTCATTTTCTTTGGGAAACCTTTTGCCCTTCATTATGACTCCCAAGCGCAAGGTAGGTTTGTGGGTGCTTATATAGGTGAATTCCGACCTACGTCGAAAATCAGATTATGTCGCGCCGTAGGAACGGATTTCCGACATAAGTCGTGGGCTCCCTGGAATGGACAGGCAGTGCAATGGTTAGCGGCCCGAAAAAAAAAAACAATAATCGGCTCGGCGAGTTCGAATTCCGGTAGAATTTCTGATATTCGCACAAATACACTTGCGAAAGATATAAATCCGTCTTCTCCCGCCCAGCAGGGTTAAATAACAAGGTAGACTGGGCTCTCCAATCTACAAAGACACCTATTAACATGAAACCGTATGTTGACTGATTCAAGCTATAGGCTATACAACCATGAAATATACTTGGAGTCCCCAATTAAACTTTAACATTGTGGAGATGATTTTTTTGCAAAACAAAATTTTTATCCTGCCACTGAAAATGAGTTAGATGAATGAATGATACCGTGTATGAATTGTACACTTGTGTTGTCAGATCCTGCTATGGCAACAAAAAAATAAGTAGTACAGTAAAGGAACCTTGAAAAACAATGCTGTGGAAAGGAAAGTTGTAAATAATGGGTGTCGAGGAGGTAGGCTTGGTAGGTATACATGTGAACTTGTGTAAAAATTCGTGAAAAGTATAAAAATTAGAATATTTCAATTTTTAAAATATTTTATAAACTTCTTTTTTTTTTTAATCAATTAGCCCCAAGCAAGACGATAACATCACTAAGATACAAAGAGCTACTGGAAGTGAAAAAGAATGAAGATTTTAGAAGGAACCTAAACAGAGATAAGAAGGGGGGGGTAAGTCTCTACTCACGTTCAAAATACCGGGGAGGAGTGTGAACCGGACGATAGGCAAACATATCGAATCCAGTTGAGGAGAGAGAACAAAAAAAAATAGTTGGTAAATATAATTTTACAGTTCTAACGGAGACGTTAGAAGTATAGAGTTGAAGTAGTTTTTAGAAGGAACCGTAAACCCTGTCCTGTTCAAAAAGACCGGGGAGAAGTGTGAACCGGACGATAGGCGAAACTTTCTACTTTTATTTTATATCTACGGTGGCATCTTCGAATCGAATGATCCTTCGACCCTTTGCCAATAGAACTCTTAGGACAATATTTCATTTTTATGGAACTCTCTGCTCTCTATTCTTCAAGGCTAGAAAATATTTGAAAAAAAAAACAACAACAAAAAAACAGTGAATGTTGGGTATTTTTCTTGGATAATATTTGAAAAGATGACAGTCAGTTGGGAGTAGATTAGATGCGGAAGAAAGATATTTTCAAACTTGGCATCCTAAATACCACCGGCATGAGTTATAGAAAAAAGGTTTGAACCAATGCCGTTGCATGAAAAACAAACTAAGCTGTATGCTATTTATGATTTATTTAACAGCGATTCTGAACCTCCTTACTCGGATGGAGTTTATTGCAAGACTGAAGACAAATATATGACATTACTCATGAGTAATTTCGCTACACGTAAAAATGAATCACTGAATACAGGAATTTGAATTGTATCGTTTTTCCTTTAACCTCAAATCGACATATAGCTTCATCAGAAATTTTATCTACTTGGCTACTAACCAATGTTTTTTTTTTATCTTTTTTCAGGTGTTTGCAGTCATTGCAAATGGTTCGAAGCGGGTGAGAAATTTCCTTCTGTCATTTCTTCTTTCTTTATTTTGTTCATTGATTCTTTCTTTCTTTCTTCGCTTTTTCTTTTTCGCTTTTCATTTCTCTATTTCATTCTTTTTTCTTTTCCTTCTTTTTCCTTTTTTCTTTTCCTTTTTTTCTTTTCCTCCTTTTTACCTTCTTTTTCTTTTCCTTCTTTTTTCCTTTTTTCTTTTCCTTCTTTTTTCTTTTTTCTTTTCCTTCTTTTTCCTTTTCCTCCTTTTTACCTTCTTTTTCTTTTCCTTCTTTTTTCCTTTTTTCTTTTCCTTCTTTTTTCCTTTTTTCTTTTCCTTCTTTTTTCTTTTTTCTTTTCCTTCTTTTTCCTTTTCCTCCTTTTTACCTTCTTTTTCTTTTCCTTTTTTTCTTTTCCTCCTTTTTACCTTCTTTTTTCTTTTTTCTTTTCCTTTGTAATAGCGACATGGAATGAGAATCGGAGAGCCGAGTTCGTATTCCAGTTCGTTACATTCACTTACACACAAGTACCTTCAGGAAAGGTACGACTTAATCTCTTCCCCCCAGCTATAGGTTAAATAGTAGTTGTATCTGGAAAAAATTCATATTCTCAAAAAATGTTAATGAAATATTCAGTTGCAAAAAAAAAAATATTCTTACAATCCAAAATATCTTTCGGTTTTAAATATCCCATGTAGGGTTGATAAGCCGTAAAAAATAAAATGAATCCCGACTGAGCAGTGAAGTTTTTTTTTCTTTCATTCTTATTTATAAATATATATATATATATATATATATATATATATATAATTTTCCGATTTACCACTTTATGATGAGTATGCTTCCCTTGCTCTTCAAACCCCGCTTTAATATATTTGTATATATAAGCACTTTTTAATGTGTTAAAATGGTCCGTTTTTATAGCCAGGTGAAATTTTCTAAAACCTATAAATCATATTGTTCCTACAAATTTAGAAGCTAATAAAAAACTGGGTCAATATTATTATATCATTTTTTTTTTTCAATTTTCACACATGCAAGAAACATACTTCGATGCCTCGTTGCAACTAAAAATGTTAAACTTTCACATGAGAAGCAAATACGGCTATTAACAAATCATTTTATAGCAATTAAAATGCATTACGTATTGTATGCTATTGTATGAAATGTAAAAAAAAACAACATTCTTCTACGTTTAGGTACAGTGAAGTGACGGCCATATTGGATCGACCTGTTGATAAACTTCCTTGGAAAATGTCAATGACAATCTAACAAAGTTTTGTTTTGATATGTGAGGTGATGAGGTCAAGGTAATGAGAGAGATCTGGTGAGTATTTTCACAAATTAGGACACCTTACACGTCACTATTTTTATTTTTGTTTTATCTTCAAATATATGAAATCTATGTAAAATTCACTTTAATTTGTAAGCGGTTTGTTTGTCGCATTAAATAATGATGTACCGTAGTATTCTCCCCCCTCTCCCTCTCTCTCCCTCTCTCTCTCTCTCTCTATATATATATATATATATATATATATATATGACAAATGGAAAACGTTTTATTCAGTGGTGGTATTCACAAATTTTAAGAACAGGTTCTTTTAACCACAGGTCTTAATAGCCATAGATTCCCTCATTTTCCATAGTCTATACTTTACTCTATAGATATAATTTAGAAATAAAGCAAATTTTTCTTGGACTTTTCAAAAATACCAAAATTAATCTGCATTACATTGTTAGTTATCATGAAAGGAAAAATAAAAGAAATGCTTTAAAATCTTTTATTCATGATCTTTCATTTTAAAAAATTTCCAAATAGCCATTTGATTGTCAACATAGTCTTCAGTTTCTTTGTCTCACTCTGTTGTCATCAGCTCTGAGATTTTTTTCAACGCCATGTTTTAACGAAAGAAGTGGCATCCCATAAATCTAAAAGGGAGATCAATAAGATTAATTGTCATCAAGTTTGCTGCATTTTCTACTATAAGGCGGTTTCTTTTATCTGACTATATAATATTCATTTTTGAAAAACCTCTTTCTGCCTCGGAAGAACTGATAGCAATCGTATTGATAATAGTTTTCGCTTTTTGTACACTTTGAAGAATTACAGGATTATGAAGCTTTTTCAGGACATTTTCTACGTAGTCACGAAAATCATACTTATTATAAAACCCAGGTTGTGTGTGTGTGTGTGTGTGTGTCTGTACGTTTATATATTGGATCAGATTTCCTACATTTTTCAACTGATTTCAACAAAACTTCACAGGACTACGTAAAATTACCTTGCGGTGGTTCTGACAGTGTCAAAAATTGGAAAAACACAATTGTTTTTGTACGAAATCAATTTGAAAACACCATTAAGAGGCATTAATAAAAGGGGAACAACTCATATCAAGTTATACTTATTATAAAACCCAGGTTGGTTGGTTGTGTGTGTTCGTTTATATATGGGATCGGATTTCCTACATTTTTCAACTGATTTCAACAAAACTTCACTTTTTTTTGGCAGGTAGTGTTTCTTATTGTCTTGCACACTTTTTTCTTTATTTTTACATTTGGAATGCTTTAAAAATTCCATTTACAATACAATTGTTTATAATAAAATTCTATTCAATCGGTAGACTCATAACGATTGAAAACAATGTTTTTGTTTGAGTTTGGATTTGACCAATTCGTAAAAAAAAAAAAAAAAAAAAAATTAAGACATGCGTGTCCGTCAACCTTAAACAATAATCTTTGTCAAATTTATTTTTCAGTCTTTATGATGGTCGATACTTGATCTATCTCTTACTGTTACATCCCCGAGCAACGCCGGGCTCTACAGCTAGTCATTAATGAGAATGTAATTAAAAATTTTGCTAGCGCCATCCAGATTTTATTCCTTAGCTTTCCAGGGAATAACAATTTCTTGAATATTCCAAATATTTGGCTCTATAGCAAGTTCAGCAGTTCATGAAATTTGTATTAACCTTTATTCGATCACTTGGATTTTACATCACCAACCGATTATGTGACTACAATTTATAGACAATCTAAAGTTAGTAGTTTGTTTGTTGAGGTTGAAGCTGGCAACGTGTTCGCTGAATTTTATAATTCCAAGAACAAGTTCGTACGAACCCAATGAATCCCATCACTGCTTTTATTGAAACTAGATTTGATTAAGCGTTTCGCGATTCTAGACTTCATCAGATTCAAAAACGAAAGAAAGAAATGTGTGTGTGTGTGTGTATTTTTGTGTATGCTTAAATAATGAATCATAGTACGTTTCCCTAAACTGATGTTTCTCGTGATTTAAAAAAAAAAAAAAGGAATGAGTGACTTTTGATAAAGACGTTAACGTTCTGTATCTTTTCTTTATAATTCTTAGTTCATGTCGAAAGTTGTGAACATATTTCCCAGCCTTTTTATATCGACTTAAAGGTAGATCCCCATCTCATTTTCAATGGACTGGATGAGGATCTGCCTTGGATTAATTTCAGAAAAAACTACAAGAAATTTCTCGATTTCGAGCTATTCTGAAAATGAATTGTGGATTTGCCTTTAATTCGATACAAAAAAAGCTGGGAAAAATATATTAACTATGTACTTTTGAACGTATGCGCAAAAACATTTCCCTCTGCTATTAGCGACGCCACCTGGTAGAAGACCCCCCCACTACAGGAACAGCACCTAAACGTTTTGATAAAACAACAAAGATAAAGACCAAAGCTTCACGTCGACGATGATTCTTATAAACAAAGTGAACGTCTGATCTGATCATGATAGATAAAGCCTTTTCTGAGTCACGTGATTCATGTAACACAAACGCACACACGCACACACAAATATTTATACCACCAGTCATTACCCACTATTTGAATTTTGACTGATCTTAAACAAACTTATATATATATATATATATATAGATAGATAGATAGATAGAAACAAATTTGATTAAAAAGAACCGACAAGCTCTGTGTGTTTTTTTTTTGGGGGGGTTGTTTGTTTGTTTTTTGGTTTTTTTTCCAATTTTCGGATAACGTGTTAAGTATTGTGCAAACTCTCCGAAGTTCATATTTTGTTATTTTTGTTCAAGTACTTTCGACTTTCGCAGTCATTATCAAGAACCGATGTGGTGTCTGTGTGGTAGTTAGAATTCCTTTGTCTGCATCCTGGTAATCTTTGGGAAGCTGGACGTTTGAAATGGTCTGGTGTGATGTCATGTGTAATGGCTACTGGGAACGAGGCTGCACAAAAAGAATGCGATTTATTTAATTTGAATTTTTATCTTTTATTATAATACTAATAAAATAATGTGCACAAATTAATTATATTCATATTATATCAGTATTGTAATCTATATATCGATCTAACTATCTCAGTCTGTACATATCTATCTATCACAATCTGTTCATATCTATCTATCTATCTATCTATCTATCTATCTATCACAATCTGTTCATATCTATCTATGTCCAAATATCTTCACCATGACGATGATTATATTCTGTACTGGACGTCTGATTTCTCATGAAGTCAAACCAGAAGCATGAGTCATGGAATCAAATCAGTTTAATTGTTCTTTAATGAGAATTCATTGAAGCAATATGACAGAACATATTTGGTCGGAAACAGAATGTAATGACGAAAGTAAGAATATAAGTTTTATCATTCGATCTTCATAAAATGTATATATCTGATCAAACAGATCGATATTAAATTTTTCCAACCTGAGACGGTGATTAAAACTGAATATGTCGTCTGATGTCTCAGAATTATAATTCTTCTCGAATGAGTCCAGATTGGAATCAAAGAAAGAAAACATGTCGTCTTCTTTACTGAAGTTCCATATTTTTATCATTGACTTATTGCATCGTTTTCATTCTTTTCCATTCGATTTCTATCGTTTCATGCTTATCTATCGACAAGAAAACAAAATGTCTGACTTCGTAAATCCATAAGAGTTCAAATGATTTCGAAGATAATTACAAAGAGACATTCTAAAATAATCGTACTGCGTGTGATTAGAGTCCTACAATGATTTGATCAGAAATAACTTTGAAAAATTGTATTTTGCATTACCATTGATCGTCAGTAACAGTCCGCGAAAAAGGGCAGATAACTCCAATTGTTATGGCGTGTGATAACCATTTATACACAGGATACATCTTTAAATAAGATATTCTTTTGCTTTTCAGTTATATTTTAACGCGAGCCAAACGTGCCTATTGAACTTCAGGTATAAAAAAAAGCATGGATATTATTAATTTCGGTTGAATCTATTCTGTATGGACATTGATTTAATTAGTGAAATGGCATAAAATCGAAAGAATAGGGCACCCAGTGTGTAACGAACTCACTAATCAGTTGCAATTGATTTATCGGGATAAACATGCTAACCATTACATACTCAGATTTTATTTTTATATATATATATATTAGTAAATTTCTCTCTGGTTCTCTCTCTGTTTCTCTCTCTCTTTCTCTCTCTCAATATATATACAGTAGCGGCCATAATATAAGGAACGGAAACAACAAAGACATAAATATGTGTATTGCTTAAAAAGTAATGCATGATTAGCAATGAAATTTTTACTCAATAAAGATTAGGGTGTAATGCATAAATATTATACAAAGTTACAAAAATTATTTTTTAAGTAATACAAATATTTATGTCTTTGTTGTTTCCGTTCCTTATATTATGGCCGCTACTGTATATATACATACGGTTGCATGAAGAAGTTGCATGCAACCGCATATGTTAACTCTAACACGGATATTGAGCACTTTCTATTAAATAACACTTTATATATATATATATATATATATATATATATATATATATATATATATATATATATATATATATATATATATATATATATATATACTGTCCCATTAGATCAATTACAACCAGTTGGATAGCCGAGTTCGAATTTCAGTCGAATTCATTACATTCACTTACGTGCTAACACCTTTGGGAAAGGTATGAATCCTCTTCTTCTCCCCCAGCTATGGTTAAATAGTAGGACAAACTTAGTTCTATAGCTTTTGATGGCAACTGGTCTACCGCAGAAAGAACTGGCAACCTACTGCGGGAAAAATCTGCCTCGTCAGTCATGCATTGAAAGATACATGATCGCCTAAGCGTGTATCATGCATGGCACATAACTGACTGAGTGAGTTCAATCCTCACTGGGTTCTCCTTACTTTCGGCCTTTGCCACATTTAAGCCATACTTTGGGAATCATTAAAGAACACGTGGGGGTGGTGTAATGGTCAGCAATCGTGTCTCGATAGATCGGTTATTAGTGAGTAGTGAGTTCGATCCTCACTGAGTTCGCCATGAATTCTGTCATTTGTCAACATGTCAAGATCTCTACAGCATGACGATGATTATATTCTGTACTGGACGTCTGATTCTTCATGAAGTCAACCCAGAAGCATGAGTCATGAAAACAAATCAATCTAATTGGTTTTTAATTTGTATTCATTGAGGCAAAATGATGTGTTGTAATTTATTATAATAATGCCTTTTCTTCAAAATTACGTATGTGTTAGTTTTGTCGGCACGTCTGGTGACAACATTAGGATGTTTTTTTTAATTCTTTTGAGTTTTGTTGTTAGTATTTAGTTAGTATTTTGTCGTTAGTATATTATAGTTATTACGAGGAGTGCAGTCTTTTAGGATCTCTGCCTTGAAAAGCTTTCTCAGATTTAGATGGACTGATATTACTCTGCCGGCCCCAAGTTGGGATAGTGACATAAGTCTTTGGCAATTCCAACCAATGAAGGATTAACAATCAAACAACGTGTTAAAGTTATCGAAACCTATTACGAAAATGGACGTTCAAACAGAAATGCATTTTGCGCACTTCGCGATATTTTTGGTCAACGTAATCGACTAACCGAGAGTGCAATTGGAAAAATTGTTCGTAAATTCAAACAAATTGGGTCAGTGGCAGATGTGAAAACAACACTGCATGTTCATTTACGCCGTTCAGCTGAAAATATTGCTTCAGTGCAGGAGAATATGGCCGAAAGTTTAGGCACCTTTATTCGTCATCGTGCGCAGGAATTGAAGCTCTCCACAACAACGTTACATCGTTTCCAATTGCACTCTCAGTTGGTCGATTAAGTTGACCCCCCAAAAAATCGCGAAATGCTTTTCTGTTTGAACGTCCATTTTTGGAATAGTCTTCGATAACTTTAACTAACAGGTTGTTTGATTGTTAATCTTTCCATGGTTGAAATTGCCAAAGACTTAAGTTGTTAAATCTGAAAGAACAAGAAAAAAAATCATTAAACGCTTAAATTTAATTCATCTTTAAAATCGGTCCAAGTAATTGGAACACTCACTCTCTCTCTCTCTCTCTCTCTATATATATATATATATATATATATATATATATATAGCGTCGACTAAGAAAACGTTTTCCTTTTGTCTTTTCATATTGTCCCATTACATATATTTTTTTCAGTCATATCTTAAACTGAACACACACACATATATATATATATATATATATATATATATATATATATATATATATATATATATATATATATATATATATATATATATATATTATGGGCACATAGCGTGGTTAGGATGTTCGCATTCTGACTATGAGACCCAGGTTCAAATCTCGGCATGAAACTGTAATTAAGGTCTGCTCAGGATAGTTGCCGATTGTGGGCTCTATGGGTTGAATAAACCCAAATGCCTGAACAAGCGTCTGCAATAGGGATTGGCTAGCCGCCCTAGTAGACAGGTATCCTCGAATACGAGTAGACGGCTATATATATATATATATATATATATATATATATGATACAACACAGTTTTTTAAGTTATGGTATATTTATGGGTTAAAGTGCTCAATGTCAGGGATAGCGCGTGTAAATATAAATATAAAAGTGGACATTGAAGTCGGCACCCAGCGGGGACAATCTGTTTCATGTTAAACGCAATCGTCAGGTACATGGGTACTGACTTCAATGTCCACTTTATATATATATATATATATATATATATATATGAAGAAATATAGTTTTAAGGTGTGCTACATTTATGGGATAAAGTGCTCAATATCAGAGATAGAGCGAATATGAATATAAAAGTGAACATTGAAGTCCACACTCAGAGGCGACACGCTGTTTCATGCCGATTTGCCTGACGATTGCGTCTAGCATAAAACAGCCTATCGCCTCTGAGTGTGGACTTCAATGTTCACGTTCACACACACACACACACACATATATATATATATATATATATATATATATATATATATATATACACTGATTATCAATGAAATAAAATATATAACCTTTCCGTTGTGAGACTCAACCACTTTGAATTTGAATTGACTTTCAACAAATGAAAATAAGAAAAGGAAAAATATAAATTTTTCATAGGGAAATTTGAATACTGGGAAATTACACTAAATACTAGCTGATCAAATGTTTAAACGAATGCTAAACACGAAACGAAATTTAGTCATTTGTGTTCAATTAGTAGCACAGTCAACATCTCACACTGGTATCTCCTGAATTAGATTAGTTAAAAAACATGGCAGCCGCTACCTAGTCAATTGGTGGTGTAACGGTTAGAAAGCTTGTCACCTTGTGATAGTAACTCTCTAAGTAGTGAGTTCGAACCTCGCTAGTCGCTGCATACTTTCTGTCTTGTGTCTCGTCTTTTCCTAACTAGAGTACAATCTATTGCGAAAGACAATGATAAGAAAATTCGGGGAAAATGATCAAATGATTATTTGAATCCATTCTGAGTCAGGCAATAGATTGTCCTAGTTAATAAGTGAAAGGATTCAAGAAAGTAAGTTTTATTTAATTCGATTTTTCTCCATCCCATTTCAGTTGCTTTTTTTATTAGAGCGAAAAATTTTCAGATTCTTTAACCGATACCCCCAGCCTCTTTATGACTTCCACTTCCGGTGTTTCCATTTTTCACTGAATTCTGGCATGGATTTGCTATGTTGACGTCTTCTGTTCTCTTTTGGCGCACATGCCTGAAAAACGAGTTTGGACATTTCCAACTACGGCGTGCGATGGATAAATTGTCGTTTAAATTACCCCCCAAAATGAAAATAACCCTGACATCTCATTTTTATAGATACATTTACCAAAATGACGCATACATATCTTGAAATACTAAAGAGTAAATTTATTCAATAAAATCGCCATTGGCTTCAACCACGGCCTCTAAACGATTTTGGAATCTCTTGCAACACTGCTGGACGGTCTCATAGATTAAGTTGATGGATACTGCTATAATTCTTACTTTCAGATCATCTTTGGTGTTCCAAGGAGTTTTATTGGTTTCTCGCTTAACTGCGCTCCACACAAGAGATTGGTGTCTGGGGAGTTAGGCGGCTATATGGGGTGATGTGGCCGCAGAAATTGTCTGACTGAGTTCTCCTGCTTGTGTGGCATGTTGCCAGATATAGGATCTTCCAGCAGCCACCCTCTTGATCCAGGGCAGCACTACCTCCTCAAAGCACTTAATGTAGGCCTCTGTGTTGAAGTAACAAGTGTTTTTTTTTATCAGGACGATCACCATTAGACTCATCTAACTCTTTCCGAATCTTCTGCACTGTCTTCAGATTAACACCCAAATAATCTGAAATGTTCGTATTGGAACTTCCGGCGCGAATGCCAAGCAGTTTAACATGCCGTTTCCAAATTTCTGTCGGAGTGAATTGAGTCATGGTGCTCTTTTTCTCACAGACGGTACACAATTGGCCCTATTATACTGTGCAGTCGACAAAATCAAACAACGCGCATGCGTGAAATTACAAATATAAAGTGGCGATAATTTACCCATCGCACCCTGTACGCCCTTAGACTATATCTGAAACTACAGCCATTGTATTAACCTTAGGTTCGTCCTTGACACCAGAAAAGTAAATTAAACTTTGTCAAGGGCAATACATTTTGCAGAAATTTATTTAAAGTTTTAAAATGTAGAGCAGAATTCACAACGATTAAAAATGCAGACACAAAAATAGATGGATTTGATATGAATACAGACAGGAAGATTAGATTTTTTTTTTATTAGCATTGTTTATGGTGATTTTTTTAAAGCTTGGCTTAGATGTGACGCAATGCCGAAAGCGTGGGGTACCCGGTGAGGATCGAACCCACTACTTAGTCGTAGTGTTCTAGCGAGATTAGCTTGCTAACCATTACAACCCCTTCGATAAGCCCCGTTCCTCTGCTTAGACGTGTATACACGATTTTACCAAAAGTGTCTTTTTCAGACAAAGACGAATGAACAAGTCTAAAACATAACGTTCAAAAACCAGCTACAGACGTGTTTATATGTCGATCTTGATTCATTTTATGTCCCACTGAGCATGAAACGAGTCTAATTGTCAACTCATACGTCTAGTAGAGGTGTTAGCCACTGCTCGGGTATTTCAAGGTACCTCAGTTTCTTAGTTATTATATTGAAAACAAATGAAAAAAACATCGTCTGAAAATGAAACGTTCTTCCAAACATAATTGGCGAGGAAGGGGTTAATATTGATTATGTTGGCAAGCAACAGTAAGTTTTGTTTTTGTCTTTTGATGCCTATTGTATTTATACCATCCCCCCTTTCAAAATGGAATAGTACCAATCAAAATTGAATCGTGCCAATTAAAATGGAATAAAAGCATACTTCCTCCATTCTACTATAAGTGATTCGTTTTGTTCTTTATATCATGTAATTATGGGCATTTATCGTGGAATGGAGATTGTAGGGTGTTTTTTTTTTTAAATTGAACTTGATCGACAATAGATTTTTGTACAAGGTGAGTAAATGGAGCTAGTTTGATTTGTGCAAAAGAAGCCAGATTTTTCTGCATCTTGAAATCTTTGGTAAAAGCTTGTTACTATTAGCTTGGTTAGTGATTGTAAAATATAGGGCTTCAGTCTTTTTATCTTCGATCCCTTACGAGATTCTCAATTTTACAATTATTTTTTTTTTCTCTCCCTCTTGCAGATAAACTCTCATTTCCCTCCCAAACATTTGTTTTTGTTTGTATCCTTCTTCCAATTAGTGAATTTTTCAGTTGATTTAAAGTGAAAAATTTCCCCCGACTTCAGAAAAGGGAATGTCCTCCACTTCATTTAGTATTGTTAGTGCGGGTCACATATTAATTCCCTCCATTTTCTTTTTTTTTTCTTTTTTTTTTTTTTTTATCCCAATTTGATTAGCACTACTTTCATTAAGTGGAATGGTATAGATATTTCGTAAATATCTCGGCTTGGAAGACAAACCTGCATAAGCAGAATCTGTAACAACCTTCAACATTGAATTTGAGGTTCCAATTTATGGTTCCATTTGTGGCAATGATTAAACATTTCAATTGTCTGTACGGGTCTGATAAAAAAATGTGAATGATACTGGCAATATGAGCCAAGGTGGAAAACAACTGCGAACCTCGATCTGATGTTTAACCAGCATTCGCTGGTTGTTACGTATGTCAGTCTTGCATGATAATGATTGCAAAGAGAACTGTCAGTTTTAAAATAATGAGGATGATTCTAAGACTTCACACAACTACATTTACAAACAGCGGACATATTTATTTCCCTTTTTTTTTTTTTTTTTTTTTTTTTTTTTAAGCCGAAGGCCACTACGTGAGACATGTATTTCCCTTAACTATTTCACCTGAAATAAATCTTTATTTTTATTTATTTTATGCAAGTTCTTATTTAATTTAACTTTTAGAGATTGTAGCCAGGACTCTAATTACCGATTTGCACTTTCGGGGTTTCTTTATCTTGGACGACAGGCTGAATGGAAATGTTTTAATTCTGACAAATTGATTTATAAAAAAAATATAATTTTAATATCATGGATTCTTCGTCGCATTATTTAGGTTCGTTCATGCCTGATATCGTTCACCTAATGCCAAATACGAATTTTACTCTGAAAGTAAAAATCTCTTGCTTTGAAACTAAATACGAAGCATGCACCTACTACAAGATGGCCGCTGGATTTGTTATTGGTGTAGAGTGAAAGTATTATTGCTTTGTTTAGGTCGCAAAAAAATTAGTACAACACTCTTCTCCGAACATGTATCTTTTTGTATATAAACTCTCTAATAATCAGCTTAACTCCAAAATGGGACGGTGATTATTAATTGGTTATAAGTAGAAACCTCTAACTAATACTTCATAACCGCGAAGAAGGACATTGGTATCCCCTATGGCCAGAAAGCTATAATTAATATTAGATTTCTACAGCTAATATGGTATTTTAAGATGGTAATTATTAGGTTAAACATTTTCCCATTAAAGAATAAACGTTATATTTAAAAAAAAATACTTAAATTAAGTTTCGTAATAAATGTTCAGAAAACCTTGCCACAATATATAACGTATATGCCCGTGTATAAGTCTGCTTTATGTATAGTGCTGCCTACTGAAATAAAAAAAAAATGTATTTTAATCGCTCCTGAAAAAGTGACTTTTTAACCTCTTAAAAAATTACCTGTGTATGGTGTAATGTTTAGTAAGCTCGTCTCGCTAGAACAATTACGACCGAGTAGTGAGTTTGATCCTCACTGGGTGCCCTACTACTTTCAGCCTTGTGCCACACCTAAACTATGCTTAGAAAATCACTATAGAAGCTCGAACTATATTCGAGTACATATAGTACTTTGCATTGCAAACATCATTTAACTTGTCTGTCGTGATTCTGCGCAAGTTCTTTGTCCAAGTATATTGGGTCTCATGATATTGTCTTTGAAGGTTTTCCCATAAGAGGACATCAAATGATATTAAAGTCGATAAAGGCAGTAGATATTCAATACAACCACTTTGTTCAATCCATCAGTCTGACATTGTATAAGTACATTGTGTCTCCTCGCATAAAATTTGTATTTACTATTTCCCCAGATAAAAACAAATTGGTGTTAAATCTTTGGTTATACACTCTGCCTTTTCTTTGAATGTTGTGCGTTTATCGAAACCGTCACAATTTTCTTATTTCTTAAATCGGCATGCAAGTGAATCGCCTTTATTTTTTGTGTGATTGAGTTATCGATTTATGACTTTTTTTTTTTTTTGTTAACCAAGAGAATGAGATTTTGAACGAAAGATAAGGCGTCTTCTACAGACAATCGTCTGACAAAGATTATTCAATAGAAACAATGAATTTTTTTCCCTTTAAGAATTTCTTCAGATTTCTTGAAGTATAAAAGAGGATTGTATAAATGTCTGGAGATACACACTATCTCTCTCTCTCTCTCTCTATATATATATATATATATATATATATATATATATATATATATATATATATATATAAGGGCAGTTGTCTGTGTGTCCGGATAAAACTAAAAAAAGATAAAATAGTTACGACAAAATAAATATATATACAGACTCGGTATCACCCAACACGCGTCTTTGTAAAAAATATCATCGTATATGTATTTAAGATATTTTAAAATTAAAATACGTAATAATTACATTAGAATGCATTAGAAATTCTCAGAATTAAAGTGAAAACGAACAGGAATAATTCTTATTCCGTTCGTTTTTACTTTTTAATTCTGCTGATAACTTCGAAACGCTATAAAAAAAAAAAAAAAAAAAAAAAAATTCTATTCTCTTGAATTTATTTCCATATCTATAGTAACTTAAAGCGTAACTAATATTAAACGTAACCTAAACGTAATATTAAAACAACAAAGTAAATTTAAAAGAAATTTAATTCAGTCTTTAAAAAATAATTTTTTTTTTTTTTTGTAACTAACATAAAAAGTAAATTGTTTTATTAAAGCAAAACACTATAGCGAATCTTATTTTTCCGAAAATTAATTTAAATAAAATAGTTAAATTCATAAAAGAAACATTCAACACGATTAATGTTGACCGTAACTCATGTCTGTCTCTCCTAAATTTTATTTAACTGAAGTTTTTTTTCTTTTCAAATACAACTTGAAATTTAAACACAATCGATTTTCAGGACTAAATTCTCTTACTTTTACTCTTTCAAGATATTTAGTAATTAAATTTTTTCATTTAATTGTTAAACTATTATTCAGACTTTTTCGAGAAAAGCCAGGTATCTCCGCTATATGATCATAAAATTATCGCGTTGAAACACCTGTTCACGTACGAGCACTGAAATTAAGCAACGTCGAGCTTAGTCAGTACATAGATGGGTGATCATCTGGGATAGAGCAGGAGCTGTAAGTTGAGATGTGCGGGTGGTGTAATGCATAATTCCTCGGAATTCATTGTTCGCGGGAAAATGTATATACGAGGTACTACCCAACATTCTGGGAAATGACAATGAAAGTAAAATTGCACACTGTGATACATAGTTGCTTACCTTTTTGCCAGCTGATTCGTTAAGGTTAACTGCAAATTCTATATGACTTAAGGTTCGCATGTGCTGTTCAATTGTCTCAAACCATCACATAATTATTGGGCTTGTTCCTCTCTTCGTTAGTTTGCACAACCGTTACGCCTAGCCAATAACTAATCAACTATTCCGTTTTGGTCACGTGAGAAGACAAAAGATATATCAAAGACACTACTTGGTTTCAGTTAGAAAATGAAAGAAAGAGGGGAAGATAGAAGTCTGTTTCAGTGATGTGGAAAAAGTTGTCAATTTCAAATCTTTTCGTTTGTACACCCTTTTTTCTTAAAATAACGGCCTGCATTCATATCTATATTCATGTGGTGTTATTTTGCTAAAGTTAAGCTCAAATATTTAACAATGCAATAGGAGTATTTTATTATCGTAGAACTCGCCAGGAGCGTATTCAATCATTAACTTAAATATTAAGATTCATTAGAACATTCAAATAGGAAAACCGTGAAATTTTCACGGGTTAAAATTAGTAGGGTAGAATGTTGTAAACAGTGCTATGATAGAATGAGAAATAAATACCAAACTGTTATAAATATAACGTTTCGCTTTTATTTAAGCTTCATCAAAATTTTGTTGGGAAAGGAATTATGGAAGAGAAAGTTCCGACACTGAGTTCTGTGTTGTTTATTTTCCATTGGACATGTAAATGTCACGTGTTTTGTAGTGTTATATATAAGTATGTTTGTGTCCGTGTGTAAAAAAAAAAAAAATCTTGTCATATGTTGGCAGATTTGTGTGTTTGTATATCATATTTCTAGTAGGCTTGCTAGCTTTGCGTGATAATGTGCGTGTCCAGTAGGTATTTTGTCTGGTAGTGTCCTTTTATTCCTGTGTGTGTTTGTCACCCTGGTTATATATGTATGCAGACTCTCTTCTGAGCATGATTATCTTTACTCCCTTATTGGTATCTTTCGAGACTATACTTTTCTTTTTGTCCGAATTCTCAGTAAATACTAAATACTAATCAACCTGCAAACAATTTCCCAATTAATTCCCCCTTGTCCCTTATAAAGAATGCGTTTATTCAGTTGCCAGGGTCAATTGCTGGATTATCGACTCCCACGTGACCATGATGTCTGTGTCCGGAGATGATCACATTGTGATATAAAATTACGAGTCCTGAGTCAAAAATGGGTTTTAGATAATTCTGTGCTTATTGCATACAATTCCCTGCGCGACAAGTATTTTTGTGCTTCATTTGCTTTTATTTTTTAATTTGATTTTAAACTCCCGGTTGCATCTTATATATTTTTGACGGTGTTGTTTGCAGGTTTAGTGAAAATAACATAAAATTAAAATAAATAAAAATGATTGTATGTCATTTTAAGTGTCAGTAACTCCCCCCCCCCAAATAGTATGCGTCGTCTGAACTCATTCTTTATGTTGATTGTGTTGCTGTTACTACAACATTCTCAGCTGTCTAACCCACAAGTATAAAAAAATGGCCCAATAGACTTATTCAAAGAGCAGCGAAAAAGAAGGAAATATCGTATGGCAGACCATATATGAAAACAGGACACACATCACCTCGAATAACTGGCTGTTGAAAATTGACTGAAACTTGCTTGTTCATCAGAGAGGGGATTGAATAATGCATAAATTAAAATCATGCACTTCACATGGGTAACTATTAATGTTATAGTATGTACGGTTCACGTTACAGAATGAACTGAAATTTTGGTACATTTGGTTTTCCATCTTGTTCGTCGAAAAAGAAAATTCTATTTACAGATATATTGCGCATCTAAAAAAAAAAAAGTGGAATGAATCGGCTGAAATGTTGGAACAGCATCATAAGAAGCACAAATAATGAGTTCGATTGTCTGAATAAATAAAATGAAACCAAAAATCACTTGCCTTTCAAAGTTTCTCAGATTTTGAGTTTTTGCGACTAGAAACCTCGTGTGGAATAAACCAAGAGTTATTTCCCTTTTCAAATAAAACGTCTTACCACTAATCCTTTTTCCCTAGCATTTAATTCCCTCGTTTGCTGTGTCATTTGCTGGATTATCTGCCTTCACGTGACCATGATGTCCGTATTCGGGGATGATCGCCGATATGATATCAAAGCAGACTCTGAGTCAGAATTCGGGCTTCTCTTAATCCAGATTCAATTAATTTTGCATGCAAAAACAGTTTGCAGATTTCTGGTTTTTTTCTCTCTGCCCGTGGATTTGAATTTCAAAAAGATTCTTGTAAATTCTGACATGAAATTTTCATTCTTAGCCATTTTTTCATTATTTTATTAATAAGATTATATATATAATATGCATGCGAGATAGATCATGGCATAGCTACATGTCTCTCCATCTAAATATAACTTTTGAAAATCATTCTTATGAGGAAAAGTCTAAAAACTTTTAAAGTTTAAAGTTAAAACTTTGTAAGATTGTCCAAAAATACAATTAAAATACCAACATTGCTTTCTTTTATAATTACTTACTTCCATTAATCTTAAGTCATGATCTAAATGCTATGCCGGTTACCATATGCAGAAAATTTATTTGAATAATTAAATGATTTAATTATGATTTTTATAAATATTACAAAAGACCAAAATGGAAATGAATAACGGTGGTTATTTTTTTAAAATTGAATATACAGATAAGTTAAGCAAAAATCGGTGATCTGTCCTAGATAGAAACATAAGCCCCAGGTATAGGGTTTCCTTACAGGCTTTGCCTTTGATGCAGTATGGACTAGTATTCATCCTTGGAGCCTGAAAGAATCGCAGATTTGACCTTGATATAAATAAGACCTACGCTGCTAGATATAAATCCTAAAACTAGCATCGTAGCAGGTCTTACACTTATTAATATAAGCTCTAACCCCTGTTGAGAGCTAGGGTAATTCCATAGTGCCTGAGACGTTCATAGAGGGCGCGGGCCGAGGCAACTTGAGCAATTTATTTTACCTTTGTCCTCTGTACGCGTGGACCCCCACTCTAAACTCGATATTGTATGAAGTGGACGTCGAAATTACAATAAAACCCGCATGTTTATGCGAGTTTTCAATTATTTTACGCTGGGGGAAGCATTTCCTACGAATAACGACTATGGTAAATCCCTGGTGTTTGTTTAACCCCAAAGGGTAAATCAGTAATTTTTGTTCCTAATAGCATGAAATTTCCAATTTAAGCACAGCCTTGTGCAATATTTAATTTGAATTAGTACACAGATAAAACCTATGATAAAACATCGTTTCTTTGATGTCGCTATATTATATAATGTTTGCATATACACATACGCGTGGCAAGACAAGGTGTCATTTTACAGTTGACATGCTTAAATGTAACCGTAAGTTCTATGTTAAGTTTTTTTCTCTTGCACTTCTCGCTTATGGAACTCTCTTCTGGCTTCTTGTTTCTTAGTCAACTTTGATATCCAAAAATGTAAATGCAATGTCGATCATTATCTTCTGTCTTCTTGTTAAATAATAGTTTAGCAGACTATTATTTTTTTAGAGGAAGTGTATCTCTGCTCAGACTTCCTCAGGTTGACCTTAGAGGTCAGATGGAAGACAAAATTAGAAAGTCGATTTTGATTGGCTGAATGAGCGTAGAAACGATAGAGGTAGAGTCTTTTTTCAGCGAGTTTTCTTAACCGTCAAACTATATAGAAGTGGTTTCTTTCGTGTCTGAAACGGCTCCCCAGTTAGGGGAACGACCCCTACCGGATAGACAGAACATGTAGACATGAATGTTCTTAAACTAGTTAAGTTTAAAATTCTCTTTGCTGATGTCTTTTATCACTAGATCCCAAAACTCCCGAGTGAAGATATGAGATTCTTAATTCCTTTCCTTTGTTTTCTTTCCTTACTATTCTTTGTTCTCATATTATCTCGCACTCAGTAACTCTTTGCATATTAGTGGCTTTATTGCCTTACTTGGGGTGAAATGATTACACGCACACACACAGTGAATTTTGTATATTTGTTTAATTTTGAGGGTTTTCAATGGACACATACAAACTTTGAGCTCTATATATTATATATATTTGTTCCACTATTAAATGTAAAGTTTGACCCCGAAATTTTACTTAAAAGCTGTTCTTGCAGATTATACCGTGATGTTCATCAATAGTACCCTCTGTATAATGCCGAAAGTTCTGTTTTCGGAGTTGATAGCGATAAAAAAGAAAAAATGTGTACAAGCGTTAAGATTTGAATGATGCACGGCTGTTATTGTGTGATAAGTCTTAGAAATTCACGCGTGTTTTGGTGTTGCATTTTGATTTCATTCCCCCCACCTTTTTTTTTTTTTTTTTCACCTTTTTTATGTTCCCCTTTCAAAATGAGTTGTTTTTCAGATTAGGGTTTTTGCCATCAGTAACCTCATCTGAAACAAATCAAGTGTTATTTACCCTTTCAACACCTTTTCACTAATCCCTTTTCCCCAGCATTTAATTCTCTGGTTTGCTGTGTCATTTGCTGGATTATCTGCCTTCACGTGACCATGATGTCCGTATTCGGGGATGATCGTCGAGATGATATCAAAGCAGACTCTGAGTCAGAAATCGGGCTTCTCTTAATCCAGATTCAATTAATTTTGCATGCAGAAGCCGTTTGCAGTTTTCTGGTTTGTTCTCTCTGCTCGTAGAGATTGCAGTGCAGGTATGACATTAAACTACGTCCGGCAGCAAGGCCTCTTATCGGGAGTTTTTGAGAACCATGGAACTACCTCTTAACTACGGTTGTTCCCAGGATCACGCTGACCCAGGGTGGTAGCACCTGTTCGGGTCCCAGCTAAGGGCAATAGTGAACCCCCAAACTGGTGTCCAAACATGAAAGTGTAAGAATACATTACAAAAAATACCAG